CTTCCCTGCGGAAGCGCGGGCGCGGTGGCGTCCATGGAAGCAGCATCCGCCTCTGTTGAGAGCTCAGCTGCGCGTTGTTCCTAGTCGCGTGATACCGCCTACGGAAAATACTGCCCGAAGAGCGCCTTTCGACGGCGTTCGTCCCGGGGGAGTGAAGAAACATTTCTCTGGCGGCTTGTCAGGGGTGGCACGGTCGCCGGGGGACGTCACTCCGAGCCGCCTCGGGCCTGGCAGCGCTTCCTTAAAATAAGGATGGAAGTATCTACCCGTAAAGGCGGATGTGATAGGAGAAACGTACAAATAGCCAATGTGACATGCAGCTTCTAAAAATACCCCTTCAATTAGCGCGAGCAGCTTCCTTCAGACCTTGACGACAGCGTGCATCCACCCCAAGATGAAAGCTCTCGAGGGCAGGATTCTTGGTTTCACGCCTGTCTGAGGAGACCGTAGCCATATGTTGCTGTAGCATGAAGCAAGTGTCATGATTTGTTGCCTCTCTGTGCAAAGGGAAAAATGGTGGCATGTTTCTGAGGAAACAAGTGAAAATACAGAGCACAACCTAGTGAGTTAAACCACTGAAGTTAGTAGGACAAGGGCAACGTGTGCCAACAAAACTCCGTTACGTTCCCTCTGCAGCTTAGGAACCCCAAAATGCCCTTCAGTAAGGGCTACTTCGTGAAGAATCCCCTTCAATAACAGAAATAATTCCAGCTGTTTCTGCAGCAGTTGGAGATAGGACCACTACATTCTAACATCTCTGCAACTGCAGCAAGTGCTTCTGGTTTGGCATTTGGTAGCTATAAAGCTTTGGAGATGTGTATGCTGCAAGTCCATCTGGCGATACCTAAGATTTTAGAGAAGATAAGAGGCTTTTAGTGAACCCTCTGAAACTCTCTAGTGTGCAAAGTATGTGCAGGCATATGCAAAAAAGTGTGGTCAGCTCAGTGCTGTGTGCCAGTCTGTTACTTGCTTTTCACATTGGCTAAATCACAGAATAATTTAGCTTGGGAGGGACCATCTAGTTCAACTCCCTACTTAAAGGAGTGTATTATTGAAGTCAGAGCAGGTTGTTCCAGGCCTTGTCTAGTTGAGCATTCCTTTGAAGGCATTAAAATGGAGTTGAAAGCTGGGCCTGAAACTTTGCCTAATTTGGAGACTAAATGCCCCACACGTTGGAAAGTTACAGTTTCAACACTTTGAAGGATACTCTTCCTTGGTTAATTGGAAGTCTCCTTTCCATTTTTGCTGTCATGATTCTGGTTCTTCAATTGTGCAAGTCTTCAGTGTGCACAATACAGAGATTTTTTTGAAAATAAAAGGCAAGCAGAAAAGGACCTTGCCCAGCAGCACACAGATTTTCTCTTAGTAGGTACCAAATTGAAATATCTTCAAAGTAACATTTCTCTGTATGTTAACAACATCAAAAAGACTGATAAATGACTTCAGATTTTGGAAAGTTCGTGGTGTTTTACCTCCATATTTATTTAAAGGCTAAAGAACTGAGTCCTGTATTCACAGAGGTGCAGCGTAATCAGCTTCATTGCTATGTCCTTAACAGCATGAAGATCTTCCTGTGCAAAACCCAGCTTTCATGCCTTACTTATCCACTAAATGAATTAAATGTATTCAGCTAGCGAGTCAAGTTTAATGGAATGAAGATAGCTGATGTAAGCCTTTCTCTATCTTAATCCATTCTTGTGGTGTCACGATGTTTCTTAGCCTGTGAAGTCAGTCTTTGAAGAACAATCTCACCATTGTTGTTTGCACTGTTCAGTGTCAACAGGTCCCAGGCAAAACATACTTTACAGAAGAGTCTTAAATACAGTGAAAACTTCCTGGAGGAGCTTATCCATTAAGCAGGCAAAAAAGATGAAAAGTAAAGGAACAAATAATAAGACAAATGGAAATACCTGTGGTGGTGTACCATCATGGTGCGCCTTCTAAATGTCATCTGTGTTTTTCCGAAGTACTCATTAAAAATACACTGGCATCTGTCAAGGAGAAAAAAAATATAGAAACTAAATGGTTATATTACTTGTGAGATTGAAGTTTTCACCTGCTAATGCAAATAATTAACTTCAGTCGACACTGATGGTCAGCTGGTGCAGTTCTCAGTGTCCTAAGGACTCCAGGGAAGGTAAGACTGGAGGAAAGAACGTGCAGCAGCTCAGCTCTTCCTTTTGTGTGGAGAGTGTAGGCACAGCACCCTTTACAAAACTTGGCAAAATTTCCGCCATTATATTTCATTTTTTTTTCCTCTAGGCAGTAGCTGGTCCACCTACACTGAGGAATGTCAAACTCCGTTAGGCTGTCATTTGATTCAGTATAAATAGCATTTCTTCAACTACAGGATTGCCTGTGTATCTCTATAAATATGCCCCTTTCTACACGGCATGTTCAGTGTCCTGTCGCCATTTGAGGTTAAATTTCCAAACACTTTTCTTATATGTAGTCTGTGAAGTGTGGTGTTAAGATTATGTATGCAAAGATTGCGTTATTGTAGTTGTCCTCGGAGCCACCTTTTCTGTCAAAGTCATCATCCATTTCAAAAGTGTATATGAGGTACTTCTGTTGAGTGTAACCTCAAGACAAGTCTTCCACAAAAAAAACAAAAAGGAAGATATTATGGGATTAAAAAAAGGAAGGTATTATGGGACAAAAAAAAATCTTTGCCCTCTCATTATATTTATGCAGAATGAATGAAGAAACTTTAGTGGCAGATTCTCCCTTTGTTCTCCACAGGAAAAATGAACCTTTATTCACGTTTTGTATCAGCTAGAACGATCTTTGTGGTTACCTTATGATCCCATATTGATCCCACTGTGGCATCAATAGAATCTCTGCGTCTTTTCCTGAGTTCTAAGCAGTGGGGCTGCAAATTTCTATAGCCTCTTCTGCCAATTAAGACTTTTTCTAAGCCCTGCTTTTTTACACACCCGAGTGTGACCCCTGTTTGGCTACAGGAATAAGGAATATTCTGATAGAACATCTCCCTAAAGCATCAGGGCTTCCTGGAGGCCTCACAGGTTCAAGTCTTCATAACCTGTGAGAGCATCTCTTCGTTCATGTTGTTGTATGTTTTCAGACACCTTCCTGCAAAGTTGGGTATGAAACACGCTAGTGATTTTTTTGTGCATCTGTTCTTAAGTTACAGTTTATTCAAGTTTTCTGACAGCTGTTCATGGGATTTTACTTTGCAGTTCTTTCCAGCTTTTGAGAGATTGAAAAGTAGGATCTTTTAATTCTCAGGTTTCTGAACTAGGTTGTTATTTAATACTCCGCATGTTTAATTCTGCTCTCTAATTTCAGAGTCTGTCAGGACCCACAGCAAGACAACTCCACAAAAAGAGGCAACTTCAGAACAAAGATGAACACTGGGAAAGCTTACAGTGCCTTTAACATCAGCAATGGAACAGATCTAGCAATCGGCTTTACCTCTTCCACAGTAGCTGTCCTTCTGTTTGGGACAAACTTTGTGCCTGTTAAGAAATTTGATACTGGTGATGGTAAACTTATTTATATTCTTTTGTTGGTTTTGGTATTTTTGCTAGTAGGAATAATATTTTGCCAGCAAATATGAAAGTTTCCAGAACTAGAGTTATAAATATCATCACAGTCTTGCTCCATGGAGCATGTTTTAATTTTCTTTGCTATTGTTAGGGTATAAAGCAATAATGTATTGGTTCAAGATGTGGCACATCTTTAGAAGAGTCTGTGTATGTGTTGTTGTACACTTTAACAGTGACGATGTGCTTTTCATGAGCATTTCATGATGGAAAGTGAATGTCCTTTCTTCTACCTTATGGAGATTCTCAAATATATACAGTGTTATTTGTACTGTAAAAGTTGTTGAACTTTGGACTATTGCCTTTTAATTGTGGACCTAACGTTAAAAAAAATGAAAAATTGAAATTTGAATACTTTTATCTGGTGACTCAGTAAGATGAAACAATTGCTTCTATTTCCTACTTTGAATTTTATCACTTTACTGTACTAAGTTCTTGTTGTATTTGCAGATTTACATGGAACATAGTCAAATACCAGATCCTTAGAAGAATAAATCTGCCACCCTAAAATACATCTTTTGAGTACATTGTAACATGACTCTCTGAAATTCACAAAGGAGGTGGCCATCTCTCATTTTTTTTCTGTACTATTTTATCTAAAACATAGTATGTTAAGAGACTCACACATGCAGTATTCTACAACTTGTCTATTGTGTGCATTTGGTTTTTCCATAGGCATGTTCTTCCAGTGGATTCTCTGTGCCTCCATATGGCTAGTCTCTTTGGTGGTCAATTTAATCCAGAATTGCCCCCGGTTTTGGCCTCTGGCTATGGTTGGGGGTTTCGTATGGGCTACAGGTAAGGATAAAGAGATTATATTTCTTGAAACACAATGTAATCCTAAATCTTCACAAAAAAGAGTGATAAAAACTTTTCCATATATAAGGTAGTATTTATTTGGTATTATTTAACTTTTTAAAGTCTCAGTATTAATGGAGCTGTACCCTTATAGTAAATATTATTTTATTATGCTTATTTTATAAGCAGCAAATTGGCACCAAAAATAACTTTTTTAATGTTATTGAGGAATAGTCTGTGTTTAATGTATTTATTTTTAAAACCACTGTTGCCTACCATCTCGTAGTTGCCAGAATTTCTTTGCTTTGTGAACAGTCACAGAATCTAAAGCAAAAATATACAAGATCACAACCTACTTTTTAACTGATTTTAATTCTTTTTTGTGTGTGTGTGTTTCAGGCAATGTTACAGTTGTTCCTATTGTTAAAACTGTTGGCTTAGCTCTTGGTCTTTTGATATGGGCTTCTTTTAATTTGCTGACAGGTTGGGCAAGTTCAAGGTACGTACATTTAAGTCTAAAGTCATACATAATTAATGTTACCAAGTCTTCATTAATAACTGCAGTGGAAACACTATCACCAGTAAAGAGGATTTATCACATTTATAAGATATTTTTCTCTCTCAGTGGAAAGTGCTCAGGTTAATTATTTTATCTTGTGTTTCCTCTGCCTCAATGGGAAGAAGAATGCCCAGAGATGTTCATTAACATAATTGAGTGAATTAAAAATGTATTTGTTAATGTAACACTAGTACACTGTATTTTTCCTTCTACAGCATAGGCCTGATAAATTAATTTAAATTAACTTCAATTTTTAAATACTCAGATTAAAAAAAATCAGTGTAAGTTAAATCAGTTTAAACATAGTAGACATAGCTTTTTGCAAGCCAACTGAAGCACCAATCCAATATTGCAAATATAAACTTAAGAAGAATTATTTACATGAGTAAATATTTCTAAGATTGGGTTATAATTTAACTATTTATATGCAGTCAGTGCAACTAAGTGAAACTGTTTAAATATTCCAGATTTGGTTGGTTTGGAATTGACCCAGAAGAGGTATCAAGACCAATCTTAAATTATCTTGGAGCTGGACTTTCACTATTAAGGTAGAAAATTATTCTTAGAATAAATTTCTGTTATGTAAAATATCATCTATTTAATAACCACAGGGACAGTCTAACTAGAGGCCAAATATATTGAAGTATTTTTTGCAAATTGATTTACTACAGAATTCATGAGGTGTCCATACCTAGCCGGTCAGTGTTGTATTTCAGAAGAGAAGTATACATGACATCTGGTACAGAGGTGAAATGGTTATTTGTAAACACAGAAATATACTTTTATGATGGTGGGCATGTTCAAGGCAAAGCAGTGAAGCACTGATTGTCTCTCTAGCCAGGCTGCTAAAATAGCTCACTTCCCACAAAGTTTATGAGAGAAGAAAAACTGACTACAAGACTCTCGGTGAGAAAACATCTGTGAGATTTCTGATCTGACTTCACTCAGTCAGGGATACAAATCCTTCCTCTTAACTGTAGAAGATGCCACAGGACCTCTTCCCAGATCCTTCAGACTCCACGAAAAGCCAGGGAATTTGCAGTATCTCTTGTCCTTCATAGCTCTCTCTCTTGTAACTCTTAAGCCACACTTCCAAAAGCTCCCAAACAATGTCTTCCTTTGGGATCTTCAGAAGGACTTCCACTTTTGTTTATTTTTTGTATGAATGCATATTTTGGTCCAAACACAGAGGAGAGATGGTCTTTGTTACATAACAGTGTTCTTGCTTTCCGACTGGGTGGCCAGGAAGGTCTTTCTAGGAACAGAAAGGAGGCCCTAAATCCCAGGGGCAGTAGGTTTGCCATAAGCGTTATGAGCAGCAGATGCATGTAATGCCTTTAGGAAAAAAGGGGTGTTAAGAACATGGAGGCGATGGAGCCATTCCTGATTGCTGGTGGAAAGCTGCTGCCTTAGATTCTTGAATTTTGTTTCCACTCTTTCTCTTTCCTAAGAGTCAGCAGCATTTTACTTATTGCCATTACATGTAGCACGTGATTTTCTGAGGTACTCACAAAATAGCAACAGTACTGCTATTCCTGCCTGATGAATTCATTCAGGTCACCACCTGCTTCCTGCCTGTTTCTGAGATATCATGGAGAATCATCAACTGGGAAAAAGATCCTGACCAAACATGTGTTCCTGGCAAGCTGCGCAAAGCTTGTTGCAGAGCTCAGAAGCATGTATTTCATTTTAGCCTCCCGTGTGGAACCTGTGCATGTTTGCCTAGTCCCTCTGGAGGAAGCCGACATCCTTTTATATCTATCCTTATTCCTTCAGCAGACTTCAAATGGAGACATTTTGTTTACAACTATGAGAAGGAATTCCTAAATCATTAAAATATCTTGCATAAAAATAAAAACCAGAATCTGCCAGTTCCGATTACATGTATTTACCTGGTTTACTGGAGCTGGGGGTACAAATTACTCTTTCTTCTTCATTTTATTCACTTAGTGCACTGGAGCACCGCTGGGCAGTACCCCTTCTCCTTCCACATAGGCATGAGGCCCTGTAGGAGCAATATTCCCTCATTCACAAATGATAGCAGACTAAAAACTAACGTTTGTACTTGAGCACAGAGCCAATTCTCTGCAGGTTTAAGTTGTTCCATATAGAATTTTCATCCAGATGTTCCATGGTAGGTGTGGTTTAGTACAAAAGGGCACTGTTAACTAAAGCAGCTGTTAGCACGTGGTTGTAACTGCCCACTTTAAACAGGAGACATTTCAATCCCGTTACATAGGAGATCTGTAAAGCAATACAAAGACTAATTTATTTACTTAATTTCACTTAAGTTGTTTGTTAAGTCTGTTAAAAGCAATTGCATTTTTAAAATACAGTGAAGTGACTCTAGGGCAATAATGAAAATAAAGTAACATGCCCCCAAATATAACTTTTGTCTCTGGACACTAAATGTTATGTTCTTATGAGCTGACATGGTATTTATTGGTGTATTTTTCTTTTCTGAGTGCTGTCATATTTCTTTTTATAAAACCTGAAGTCCAGAGTTCTTCATCTTCATTAGAAAGCACACCTTTACTGAGAGAAAGTGTAAGTACTCTACAGTTGTTATTTTACAGCAGTGAAAAGTACATATCCGTTTAAAACCAAAAGGTTTGCTTAATGTTAACCAGATTTGCTAGGATTTGTGGTAGGCTACGTGAAACCACATAAATATGTATTGATTGTATTTAATGTGTGGATCTTGTATATCTAGTCGAATGTGAGCAACAGAAAAGGTTTTCCCAAGTTTTCTTTCTGTATTGTCAACTTTAAATGGCACAGAAACTCCTTTTTCTTTATGACAGAAGCTGAATAAAAGATAGTGTATTACTTTCCTATCTGAGAAGAGGAAGCAATTTTAATTAAAACTTAACTATAAAACTAGGAGGGTGCTTGGATGAAAGGCAACAGGGTGTATAACTCTTACCCATCAGATTTTTGCCAAATTACAGAACTAAGAGACTGTCAAGAGTCACAGATTCTCAGCATCAGCTGTGGCACAGGTCAGAGGTCAAGGAGCAGTGCCATACTGGCTGTCGCTCTTTTGGGACCCCAAACTATGCAACAAAAGCGGGACAAAAATAGGCTCCTACTGCCGTTGTACCTTACTCTTGTAGGTCAGTGATGCATCAAAACTCAGTTGCTACCTGAACAGAGAGCCTCTCAGAGTTTTCTAGCTGTTCTCAATGCTCGCTAAAGGGTCCAGTCTTCCAGAGCAAATCACAGAAGACAGACAGAATCTGGTTGCAGGATTAGAATAAAGGGATGCTGCAATTTCTTTGGGCAGCAGACAGGGATGTTTTAATTTCCGTTTGCAAATAGTCCTAATGTTCTGATAGTAACACCAGAGCTATCAACAAAAACGCAAAAGCACATGATAAATACAATCTATATATTATTTCATACAACAAATTTAGGGAAGGATGAGTTTTGAAAGTCAGATCTCCCTGCATGCAGGTTAAAAAAAAATACTAGTGAGTGCTCTCTTATGTACTAAACCCAAATTCCATATCTGAACTCGTACCTGTAAACTTTCAGGTAGGTGGATCCAATTATTAGTTTTATATTAAAAAATATCTCTTTCTCCTTTTACAAAATATTTCTGTAAATTCCTTCTGTTTCTCCTTCCATTTTAGTTGTTTTTTCTTAGAGCAAAAACATTCTGTTTAATACAATGTTTGAGATTTAAACCCTAAAACTAAACCAACTAAACTTGAGTGAAAACTCTTGGTTTTTTACAGTCTATTAATGTTTCTGAAGATACCTCTGATGACTCATGGGTGAACAGACTTTCTCCAGCAAAAAAGAGACTCATGTAAGTTATTAACAGTTCTTTTACTAATGCAGGCTAAGTAGCCAGAGAAAGAAGCTGGACACAGTGTAAGAGCAGAATCCGTGTCCTGTGGTTTTCCTAGCACAGTCATGCACTAATAACAATTTTTAAAGTACTAGTATAATGTGCGTATCTGTATACAAATAGCTGCTCAACTGATTGGATTGTTTCCTTCACACCGTTTACTGTGCTTTACCTTACAATTAATTATTATTTACTACTACAAAAGAACAACATTTGCAAAGTAAATAGCTATAGCAAGTAAGTAATTACAGAGCTGTTTTTTTATTACCTGGTTGATTAGCACTCCGGCATAGAAGCACCCTGTGCTAATAGCATGCTTCCAGGTGTGGTTTCCAAGTGAATACATCTGGGAAACGCATGGCAGTATAGTAAGGAGAGAACAGAAGTGCTCTAAGGTAGAAGCAGTAGCTAGCGAGGGGCCAGTGTGTGGAGTGTAGACAGCAAAGGACACAAGGATCTGGAAGTGGAGAAGGGGACCGTGGAGGCAATGAACCTGGTAATAGTTACAAAAAATATATAGACTGCAACAGTGAAGCTGGGAGCATTTAAACTATATTTTTGTTGGTTTTCTCCTAGCTCTGCTTTTAGGAAATCCTAGTTAGTTGATGTCTCTTGTCATTAATCTAGACTGCAGGCTCTTGGGGCAGGAATTGCCTGTGTTACTTGGCCACAAAGTATAGAAAAATTAATTTACTGAACTGAACCATTTCTACATTAGAAAATAAAAATGTGCTAAAATGTATTATTTTCAGTGTTGCTAGCAACTTTCATTTGATATACAGTCTTTAACTGCAATACTGGACTTGTCTTAAGTGTATTGTCTACTTCCCTAATTAACACAAGGCTATTTTCTCTGACTTTTCACTTTTTAAAGAGGTTGTAGCCTGGCTGTAGTAGCTGGAATACTCTACGGTTCCAGTTTTGTACCAGTGCTTTACATCAAGGACCATGGAAGAAGAAATGAAACTATATACACAGGAGCAAGTCAATTTGGTAAAGGCTAATAGGTCGCCTCTGCTTTATTGCATCAGTTTATTGTGGTGTCCTGCTTTTGTAAAGGCACAGAGTAAAATTCTTGATATGCCTGGAAATATCCCATGACAACTTAGCATTTCTGCACTGTGTTACGTGTTGTAATCACAGTAGTAGCACTCCCTTTTTCCCAGAGGTGAATTGCACCATTAAAAGAGCAGCGAGAAACAGCCCAGAGAATACTGTACGTAACTCATATATTTAGTGCCTTCTGAAACATAGCTAGCACACTCAAAATAGAAAGTATGTATGTCTGGAACATGAGGTAAAAATGTGCACAAGCTGTACCAATTGCCAAATTAGTACACCAGTAAAGGAAAAGGAGAATGTCAATCATAATTGATGAGCAGAAGAGATGTATCACAACGTAAATAATTAAAACCTTGTAGTTTTTTAAACTGAAACCTTTTAACATAAGCCTAATTGCCTATTTCAAACATTTCCCCAGAAACATCTTCCTTAAGATTTAGCATACGGTCTATCAGGTAATACTAGCAGCAGCTTAAGAGCAAGGTATTGCTGAGACTGCATAATGTTGCCATTAAGAAATTGTTTGTTATGTCATATACGATTTCTCTTGACTACGACAACTGATATATTCCCCAGCTAGACAAAACAGATGTTATCATTACTGTAACTGCCTTTCCTGTTGAGGATTTACAACTCCAAGGAGACAGAAATTACTTTGCTACATGCTTCTGCTTTGCCGTGTTGGAAATACTCTCGTTAGCACATACCAAGCCCATAAAGTATTTATTGTTAATCATTATAGTGATGAAAATTCTCATACGTTCTTCAAGATAAAAAAAAAGGACAAAACTGTGTCGTGTTTAGCTTACACAGTATGTGCAATTGTCTTGCCCTTAAATGTACAGAAGAGAAACAAGGCTATATACAGGAATACAAATGTAGATGATCAGGAGAGGGTGTAATTATGTGAAATCCTCACCCTCGTTTTGTAGCCTCACTTGAGGATTTTTTTAAGTTTTTAGCGAATTAATTCAGTAGTTTGACTAATAGAGTTCCGACAACTCACAAAAATGCATAAAAGCATGTGATAAATTGTAGGGTCAATGCAGCGGTTAGTTCATGTCTACTATGTGTGTGATTGACCACATCTGTCCTCAGTCACACTGGCAGCTGTGTTCATCACAGTCACAATTGAATTTGAGTTGTTAGCAGTAGCACCTTATGTGGTTTTGTCTATGTGAATGCTACCAGTGAAATAAATTTATTTAAAATTAATAACCAATGATTTAGACTAATATAATTTTGTAATTTCTCTTTCAGATTTAGATTATGTTTTTGCACACTTCAGTGGAATATTTCTTACAAGTACCGTCTACTTTTTGATTTACTGTGCAGTCAGGAAAAATAAACCTAACGTTTATCCCCAAGCTATATTGCCAGGTATGACTGTTTTTTAAATCAGCAATTAATTTCAGTTACTTCTTTTGACCGTTTTGCAGAGATTAGTTCAAGATATATGTTGGAATTGTAGTTTGCCTTTCAAGTCTCTTCATTTGAATTTTTGTCTCTTTTGAAAGATCATTCCTATTAGATTAACTAATCAAGGTTAGGAAACAATGATAAATTCTGTTGTAATCTGAAATTAGAACAAAATGTCATTGCATACAGCGGATTTTCAAAAACTGACTCTGCCATAGCGGAGACCATATTGCTCAGAAAATTGTGAATTTTAATTAATGTAGTACTTTAACTGGAGTAGCTGATTTTATCCCTTGAGCTTTAGTTTAGATTATCAGAGACAGCTTGTTAAAGTGATCAACATACTAAGATACATACGTACAGTTTCTGTATTATGCTATAAATACAAATGTTCCACAAATTGCTGTCTATACCTTGCTGTATATATTTTTGATTGGGATTTATTTTTCTAGGATTTGTTTCTGGTGTGCTTTGGGCAATAGCCAATTGCTGCTGGTTCATAGCCAATCACTATCTCAGTGCTGTGGTCAGCTTTCCAATAATTACTGCAGTAAGTATATAAATAAATAAACAAAATCTGTGACTAGAATCTAAAATCCCCCATTTGTGAAATTAAGCTGAAATTATGATGTGTCTAGAGCATTGTAATCAAGATATACATTACCTATTCTTCTGCTTGTCTGTGCTAGCCTTTGGGTTTTTTTAGCAACATACAGGACTGTGACAAGCATCATCTTGGTCAATGCTAAGCCTGAAAAACCAGAAAAATTGAAAGTGTGAATCTTTAGGTTATGTAAAAGCCAGAGGTCTGTAACCAGAACTATATCAATATTAAATGGTAAACTGAAATTATTAAAAGAAGAAACATTTTTTGCTTTCATCCCAGCAAGTACATTTTGTTCTGGATGTTTTCATTTGTGATTTTCATCCTCTAGCAGACATTTTGCTTAATTAAGTCAGATATTTTTTCCTTTTACATTTCTTGAACACACAGAGCAGATTATATATTGCTGAAAATAATGTTCTTATGCAAATGAGGGAAAAATAGGTTGGCTCATTTTGTCTGTTTTATTCCTATTTATGATACTGTACCTTGAAAGCACTGTTAATTTCCAGAAGCTGCATAAATTCCATCACTAGGTAAAGATAAACTTTGCCTTTACTGTCTTGCCAATCTACTAGATGGTGCTGCAAAGGTGGATGACTTGTGGCAAATGAGAGTTCATAAATATCAAAAACAAAGTTTTGCTGAACAGCTGTATTTTGGAAGTAAACTTATAAAACAATGTTAATAGAGTTTAAGCTTTGCCTCAAGATACAGTAAATCAGAATAAACCGCAGAACACAATGAAAAGAAAGACTTGGGATCATTCTAATTAGAAATTGAAGGATTAATGGAAAGCAGCTTTAGTAACTTAGTTATCAGTGTGCCTAAAGGGCAAGGATATAAAATCACAAAATGAAAAATTTAAGGACAGCACTGATGAGAAGCTGCTTATCTGGACCACAGGTTCGGAACTGCTACTTTACTTCATCCTAGAGAGAATTTCAGACAGCTATTCATCACATCACTTTAACAATTTGCTTCATTTTTAAAATGCATTCCTCTCGCAGCGTACATTATCTAGAAAGTGAAATAACACCTTAGCTATTATTCAAATAATAGTTGGCAATTTCACTGGGAAACAGCACCCACAAATACATTCAGCGTGAGACACTGTTTCCTGCTAGACTAAATCTATGTCCTATCAGCTGTGCTGAAGATGGAGAGAGGAAGATCACTGTCCAAACATCTGTCAAGTGTTTGAGAGAGCAGCTCTAATGGGAAGCATTAACAGGGCCAATTTTCACTTCATACTCAGATAATATTTTCTCATCAGTCGTGAAAATTCAGATCATTGCTCCCACAGGGGAAAAACGGTATTACTGGGAGTGCCTGGAAATTATCAGTGTGTGTCACTGCTCGCTGTTAGCTAGGAAATCTGTACGACCACATCACAGATAATCAGTAGTTTTCCTGACCTGTTGATCCGGCTGGCTTTCTGCTTTGTCCAGATGCCTGCTATACAGGAAATACATTTGTATTCCATCTCTAGATACCATACTGAGAGATAAAAACTTTGTCCAACTAGTTAGTCATGCTAATAAAGGAAATGTTAGGAATTTCCATGTTAGCTGCCAGTAAACCTGAATAGTCCTCTGAAATGTGGTAACATTGTGGACTGTAGTTTGGACTGTAGTTTGGACTGAAGTGCGGCGTGTTATTTGAAGCCTACTAAAAGAACGTGTAACAGCCAGTGCAGACTCCAGAGTGTAATTTAGAAAGAAATTTTTCCTTCTCTGAAAAAAAAGTCTCTTGCCTTTTTAGCCCTTCTTGAAGGTTTTATTGTGTCTTACTTAAGGTCCCCTTCCAACCCAAACCATTCTATGATTCTACTTTGTAAAGATTTCCATTATGTTTTTGCTTCTGCCATAAGTGCTGTAATTACACAGAATGGAAATGCCTACATTTGTTACCCAGACGAAATTCAGCCACCCGGAGAACAGTAATGAGAAGGTGGAACGTTTTAATGAAATGCTGTAATGTACAAATGAATCTTATTCTTTAGGGTCCTGGCCTTGTTGCTGCAATGTGGGGAGTCTTTGTATTTAAGGAAATCAAGGTAACCTTATTAAGTCTCTTACCTTGTCTCTCTTGCTCATCGCTGGCTCTAGGAAGAGCATGACTTGTTACACAGCTGTATCTCTTACATTTCTCCTCCTTACAAGTATTGTGTTGTGAAGCTGAAAGTCATATCATGCAATACTAAGTTTTCCAAGAAAGATGAAGAACTGAACAAGTTTTACAGGAGTGAAGGTTTGAATTCCGTAACTTTATGAGCAGCAGAGGGTATAAATGCAGCCTGTAGCAGGGCCAGGCACAGCCCAAGAACAGTCTTTATTTGAGCCAGTTCTTTCAGTTGGGCAGGGGAACAAGCAGTTGTCCTAATAATCACGTAGACAAGTGGATTAGACTTTTAGGGTCAAGTTCACGAAAGGACCGAAAAATGAGACGGAGGTTAGTTGGCCTTTCTAATTGCAGTGCAGTGTAGAGATCCTAAACTGGTATGGCAGTGGTTGCCTAGAACAGCATAATTTACTCTACGGGATGTTAACGTATGTGGCAGAAATTATTTTTCTGGTGGAAATCTGAAGCATTTAACGCTAGCAGTGTAATCCTCAGGTTCCCTTAGCTAATATGTCCAGGATCCATAGGTACCTAATTTGGCATTAGAGATCATCTTTCCCAATATTTTTGGTGACTGCATAAAATGCATTAGGCGTCCTTGTATCAGGAACTAGTTCCCTCTCTCCCACTGCAGATTAATGTTGCACCACACTAGAAGAGCATCATGTTCATTATCCAAATTTTGTGACTCACCAAATCCTCTATCCTTTTTGTATATTTTAGAATAGTCTCTGCATAAGTGCTTACTGCTTAAAAATACTCTGAACATAGGCAAAGGCCTTTAAAAATACTTTTAAAAATTGCCGAATTAATTTCGAGAATAATTTACTAAGTGTATGGCATCATAGATTACTGGTAATAAGCTGTTTTGAATAGCAAATGTTACAAACATCTGAAATAAAATGATATAAAATTTACCATTTCATGTAATAGATTTATTAATTTTGATATAAAATAAAACTATAGTTATTTTACTTTTTTTTTTGTGAAGCAATATCTATTATGACAACATGATACTTTTCTTTTTCTCTCCCTTTGTCTATCCAGGGACTGAAAAACTACGTGTTACTCTCGGTAGCATTTTGCATCATTTTGACTGGATCACTCTCCACGGCTTTTTCTAAAGTTTGAAAGAATCTTCTGGACCAGTAGATGGTGCTACTGTTTAACAGAATCAGAAAGACAATATTCGTATATGACAATACGTAATAATTTTCAAAACATATGCCCAAAATTTACCCTAACTTGCTTCAGGCAAGTGAAAAAGAAAGCCCTTGCTAAATGTCCCCATTTGGCATGAAAGAATATCTGAAAATGTTTGTTTCTGCATTTCTTAGAACAGAAGAATAGAAAAGGATTTTATTAAATAAAGCTAAATGATTTTATAGTTACTAATTATTCTTTTTTCTGGTTCAGGTACTAAACTTCATGTCATCATAAATTGCAGTTCACTGGTGGATAAAGGCATTTTAATTCTTAGTCTGTAATACTGTATGTATTTGCAAGCTGATTTGTTTTATTGTAACATTCTGTCTTACTGACTTGAATATAAAATATGTCTTGGAATATTCCTTATGGAACTGATACACATGAACATGTGAAGCATTTTTTTATTTAGAAGCATTATTCTTTAAAGTAATCAGTTTACATAAGAACATTATCTTCCAATCACTTCAGAATTTTGAAGGAAATAAAAAAAATAGTGCTGTAAAATAAATTAATTGTATTTTCTGCTAAACTGTTTGTTTAGTTGAAGGAACTAGAAATCAGGACCATGATACGAATACTTGGGGACGTTCAGGTTTTTTTATTTCAGTTGCACGTAAGCAATATATTTCTGTGTTGCAGTATGAGCTAAGTTGAAAGTTTGTTTCCAAATAACTTTGGGCATTTTCTGAATACTTACTTTTCTTTTCTGTTTAGCATATTCAAATCTTAAAAATGTTGTATGGCAATAGTCATTACATGGAGGCATCATGCTAAAACTACCCATTATTGTACCCAAATGTGTGTAAATAACTTCTGACAGTTCTCGCCTAACCTGTTTCTTTAAAAAAATAAATTAAGTAAGTAGGTTTCACAACATTTTTAGGCAAACTTACCAGCTTCTAACTACCTGTCCTGCTAGAAAGCCCTAATACTCAAAGGGAATTCCCTTTGAGGAATGTAATGTCCACTGCTCCATGACCACCACTCGTGTGGAGAACTGTTTGTTTTCTTACTTATGGCAGCTAACTTTTATATATGCAAAGTGTGTTGTCCGAACCTCCACTTAGTCTTTTCTTCAGTGCATTAGACAACCCCAGCTCCCGCAGTCTTCCCTTATTTCTAATGTGCTCGTCATTTTTCTCACTCTTTCCTGAACTCTCACTAAGTGGACTAGATCTGTCTAGAAAAACTAGACATGGCAGTCAGACTACGGTCTTACCAAAAACCAAGAGCAGCAGTAGTAGGATTTTTTTTTTTTCATCCAATTTGCAAGCTCTGTTCATGGTTGCACATCATAATATGACCCTTTTTGCCGTCACAGCTTCATGTTGGTAATGTGTGCAGATTGCAATCGCAATTTCTCTTTTCTGCCTTCCACCCTTCTTTGTCTACTATTTGTCAGATTTGATCTTAGACCTGTTACTTAGCCCGCTTTTTCCCTGTCTCATATTGTTTTTTCCTACCCAAGTGTCAGAAGTTGATGTCTAACAGGTTTTCTCCCCCTTAGGGCATTTCTCTAATTTTGCTATGTGTGTTAACTCTATCCCCTAACAAGTTGGCAGCGTTTTCCAGCCAGATGTCATCTGCGAATTTAATAAACATGCTCTCTAATTATTGTAAATCATTTATGAAAATGCCATATGATACTGACCTTTACTTACTTTTTGGAATCTAATACAATAGTTCTTTTCGCTCTGACAGGGAACAATTGATTACTCTTTGAGTACAATTTCCCTCTATCTTACAGTGGTTTTATTTAGACTGCGTTCTCCCAGCTTTTATGTAGCATCGGATACAGTTGTTTGAGTCAAGATACATGATGTGTACCACCCTAATACCTGATATTGGAAAGAAAACAGGTCAGGTTTCTTTCTAATATCCAGGTCAGACACAATTTCTTCTTGGCAAATCCTTGACTGTTACTTAGGTAGCCATTATTCTATTCACTCAGACAAGAAGGTGTAATTTGTTCGCATGTTTTTGAAATAACCTGAGGTAAACTGAACATTTGTCATTTCCCTGGGTCTGTTTCCCTTCTTCTTAAAGATCACAAGCACTTCTATATTCCTGGAATGTACTGCATGCCAGAAAATTGCTGATAAACAAAGAATTGGCAAAACCAAAATATGGTGTTCCCAGGCTCCTCTGCTTTACGGGCATGCTTTAATATGTCAGTTCTTTCCCGGTCAGTATTAGTTCTTACTCCTGTGTCAGTGTTCACAGTTGTGTTAACAATGACTGCAATCTGTTCAAGTACGGCGGAAGGAACAAGGGTGCTGTGCACTTCAGTTTGTAATGTCCTTGCTGAGTAGTGGCAGATGATCTCTTATTTCCATACAGTTACTGGCAAAAATACTAGTCTTGTAACTCACTTTTTTGCTAAAATAATTACAATGCAATACAATATTTATAAGGATAGTGTGATTACAGCACCAGTCTACTTTGAGGTTACCAATGCAATCCCTCAGGAAGGGCCATCTGTTTAGTTTACTACTACCTGTAGGTCACCTTCCATATGTGGTTCAAGTCTGCAAGTGCAATCTACACTATTCAATGAGTGTAGATTCTTCACCAGTTTATGTTAAGTGAATTATTAATGCCTCAGTCTGGAAAAATGGTTGGAAGTTGTTCAACTGGAACTCAGAGAGGAGAACCATGTCTGCATGGACTTGGACAGTGAACTAGCCTGTTCACACTACTGCTTCCAGGGTAGAACTAGCTTTTAAGGAGTGTGTAGGACTCATATTGCACAACAGGTCTCAGGCCCCAGAGATCCCTAGAGCACCTTCAAGGAAGAATAGGAGCAAGCAGAAACAAAGGTCAGAGAATCGAGAGATGTGAGAATGCATGGCATGATTAAAAACTGAGCTAAGCATCAGAAAAATCAAAGATGCCTTTTTTTAGCACAGCTAAGTTTTGAAATCAAAAGGAACAGGGGAGCACCTGAAGCTGTGTGAAGATGTTAAAGGTTAGGTGTATCGCAGAGCAGAAGCATGGTGTGGTGTTTCCACAGCTGGACAAGCCACAGCACTCACTGAAGAGTCAATGCAGAGGGGCTGTCACTCAATTACTGGTGGGTAATCTGCATCCTCAGCTGTGCAAGGAGTGAACAAATAAGATTCCTCCAATTACCGTGGGACCTAGTTTATCCCTAACCTTAGATACCTGTTTCCTATTCTACACTATAGTGAAGTGCCATAGGCCTTGTGTACTCCTGCAGCACCCTGAAGCTCTGCCTTGTTTGGTGCTCTGAGTATACTGAGTAAGTACATCTTGGGTTTTTCAGATTTTTAGCCTGTCACTTCCAGTGTCAGGACAAGCTGGCTACGAGTGCTGTAGTGGAAATGTTGTGACAGATTAGCAAGCAGTAGAGCAATTTGTCCTGGCAGTGCCTGGTTTTACTCGCCTTGGTTCAGATCTCGTTTTGCTTGCTGCATTTGTTATTTTGTCGTGGTTTAGGATAAATCTGAAAAAGGACAGTGAGACTGAGTCTGCTACATCTATCCCTTGTTAGGGGACTGGCTCTGTCTTATGCTGCTTGTGCAAAAAATATGAAGCTGGCTTATGCCTTGGCAGTTGAGATGCCTTTAGGTTTAGGTTTTAGGTTTGAACTGTTACCAGATGCTTCAGTTTGCTCTAACTGAAGAGTCTTTTCTAGTGTTATCTCAAATTTCTAATGTCTCTCTTGAGGGATGCTTTTAAGTTAATGTCTGGTATGGGCTGGGCATCCATCTACTGGATATGCTTACAGGGAACGGTTGAGTCTTCCAGGACAGGAACACCTTAACGTTTCCTGTTTTCTGTACAAGGTCGTCGACTTTCTGAAACAAACCAAAACACTGAGCTCCTGACTGTAACAATTGCCGCAGAAGTGTATGTAGTTTGATGCAGTTCTCCAGTCTATATTGTAAAGCTGTCATGTGCAAATTTAATTGCTGACTCCCAGGGCATTAATTGAAATTCTTGTTTGTGAAGGCTCAAGTATGACCTTTATCAACTGCTTTCTTAGCAGCTATCCTGTTGGATTTGTCTTGCCAATAGCAAAAAAACCCACCTCTTGCAGCTCTTTTCTGTGAAAAAATCTCTTGTGGTAATTCATCAGGATTTATGGTTTAAGCATATATTTATTCTGAAATATTTTCTTATGATGTTCACTTGGAATATATTGGATAAATATTCCACTCGTTTCTGAGATTTTCTGGTTCTTGAAGTTTTGAGTTTGAAGTAACACTGGTATTTCTTTCATGTTAAAATGCTGGATTAACAGAAATCTGTTTATACCGAACAGTCTGCCAGCAACTGAGTTTAATAAGAGAAAATTCTACAGCTAATGTAAATTATCATGGCTCTGTTTATATCAGCATGTTTTTATATCAGTGTGAGAACTGACCTAGAATATTTCTAATTTTTTTGGAGGGGTAAGGGGGATGTTATTTTTTTTGTATATGTAACTGAAGGAAAAAACAAAAGTAGGACCAAGGTGGAAGAATCACATTTCTTGGAGAAAATTCTACTTTCAAATATTTGTTTGTGCCTGTTTAATAACTTTGAAGATTATATTTGATCTTTATTAATAATTTTTCTCTGGTAATACTTAGAGACAGACTAGTCTTTAAAATACAGGTAGACTGAGAGTTTCCAAGTAAGATTTTTGTGCAGTGTTGGAACCAGGCAACTCAGTGTCACCTTTTTCAGATTTCCCTTACCTGTTTATTCCTTTCCTTGTGTTTATTATCAATTAATTTTCTGAGACTCACTGCCCTTCTTGCAGATTTTTCTTCCTTCATATTCTTAGTAAAAATGCTTATTATCTGGAAAAATAATTTAAATACGTTAATTCCTATGTCTTCAAATGTGAACAGTGAAAACTGGCATTTTTTATGCCTATATACATTTTTATACTTTGTCTATATCATAATTTT